AGAGCATGTAAAGCTCTTTCAAAAATAAATAAAAAAATAAATAAATAAACAAACAAACAAACAAACGCAGGCAGTAACCGCTGAACTTGCATAGATAGAGATTTATCCAAAGTCCCCTTCTATTTTTAGGCAGAACAACTGCTTGCCAATTCAAGTTTCTGGAGAGAAAAATGCACCCACTACAAAACGGACGCGCGGAGCCTTAGACCTTTGCCAGGTGGCGCTCAAAATCCGCTAAGACTACTCCCACCAAAACTCGGTAGCGCAATTGTCTTTCCGCAGCTGCTTCAGCCAGCCCCAGCAAGCCCGCGCGCCCGGCTCCGCCGCCGCCTTCCCCGCCCTCGCGCGGCTCTGCTAGGAAGAGCCCAGAGGCGTGACCGGGAGCGGAGGGGCGTGTCCCGGGCCGGGGGTGGGGCGAGGGAGAGCCAGGAGGCGGAAGTTCCCGCGGGCGGTGGGGACGGCGCCCGCACTGCGAGTCACTTGTCAGCCCTTGTCTGAGGCGGAGGCAGCTCCGCGCCGGACCCGAGGTGAGTGGCGGCCGGCCGGCGATGCGCCTCTCGGATCTCCGGAGGGAAGAGGGAAAGAACCGGCCGCTGTGCGCCGAGCGCGAGGAGGGAAGCCAGGTTGGGGACGAGGAGGGAGCGCTCCTCGCGCAGGGATGGCTCCTCAGGTGCTTTCTGGCGCGGAGCGGTTGAGGTGGGAGAGCGGCTTGGGAAAAGGAGCGCCCGGGAAAGGGCAGCGCTGGAGTCCGCGTGAGGCCAGAGGGCGAGCCCTGGGGTCCCCGCAGCCTGGGCCGACCAGGACCAGCGTAGCGGAGACGGGGACGCGGGAGGGCGCCCGGGGGTAGTGAGGGCCGGCGAGGACTGGCTCCCGGGCACTGCCGCTCCCATCCACCCGGCTGCCGGCGTCGCCGGGCACCACCGTGGCGTCTGGGTGCCCCGTTCTGCGCCAGGCTCTTGGAGGGTAGGAAGCGGGACTCAACGGAAAAGGCACGTTAGTTTTTCTTTGCTCTCAGGCTACTGAGAAGCATTTATTTCTCTCCCAGATATTTACAGTTTTGTGTAACCTGTTTGGAGAAAACTTCTGCGCGTCCAGAAATAAAGCTTGTTTAAAAAACACATCTGTCATGAACACGAGTTTTGTTAACACTTGAGTACTTGTTGGGGCTTTTGTAAGACTGTGCCTTCGGTGCGTTTGACAATAAGTGGAAAAAGGAAGGGCGTGTGGACAGGGCAGAGCTTGGAAAGAAAATTCGTGGCGGCGCTGGGCAGGGCAGATTTAGGGTGTGATCGCCAAATCCTATCCCAAGTCCGCCTTCCTGACGGGGAGGACGTCTGAACCCGCCTGCCACGGAAACGGCCCGTTCGGTAGCCTTATTTGGCAAACAAGGCTAGGCGTGAATCGCTCCTGGAAAACTGTCCTGTCGGCTGCTTTCATCCTGTGCCTGTGGCTTTAGTTCTTCAGCTCTACCTACATTCTCTCTCTATTGCGGGGAAAGAGAATCTCAAGATATTTCTCTTCAATTTCAGGCCTTTTTTTGGTCACTCTCTGTAGTTCATCTTGAGTTCTCCTCCCCCCCCCCCCACTAAAGGAGCTGAGATACAAGTATGGGAAATACCAAGCTTCCTTCCCTAGTACTAGAGCAAAGACATTGTTTAGACTTTTCCTAAAAGAAAATCCGTAACTATACAGAAATTCCAACCTTTTCTCCGTGTTTGAAAGAGTATGCTGCTATTTCCTGCCTGCTTGGTATTTGAGGAAGGGCTTGGGCACTAATAACCAGATGGAGGAGTCTTGGAAAGGCCAATAAAAATATTGCCATTGCTTGGGGCACAGACTGTTTTAAGCCAAATGAATTCCAAATGAAGCTAGCAGAAGAAGGAACTAGAGATGAACGAACAGTGACTAGAAATGAAATGACACTGGTTTTGTAGTGTGGCTGTGACCTTGCCAGTGCTAGGAATTTTAATAACAAATGAGAGAAGTTAGGAAGGGAATTCCCAAGTAAAGGGAAGTTGCATGTACATGGGTTGATAATCTAAATGAAATACATTTTCTCGTAGGGAAGAATGGGGTCAGAGGACGTTGAGCCTAACTTTCATATTCTTCCCCAGACACAAGTTAAAAATTAATGAAGGAGGGCAGGTTGGCTGTGAAATATCAGTGGTTTTACACGCTTCTGATTTGTATTGTGTCAATATCAGGACAGTCCTTCTATTAGTTTTCTGAAAATCTTCTCTCTTTATAGCGGGAAAGCAATTGAATGATATGTGGCTCATTATTAGCTTCCCACTAGTAGTTTTTCACCTATATATACAGTTTGACTTCCGGTTTGGCCTTTGGATCTTTTTTAGTGCTTTGTGCCTGTTACTTCAATGCTTGAGTGATGTGTTGTTGCCTTGTAGTTCAGTATACTACCACGCTAGTAGAAAAGCTGTTTCGGTTTCTGATACAATTTTCTGTAATTTTTATTTTCCCTGATATAATTTTTCTTTAAAAGCCAGGTTTATTTGAAAGTTTTGCCCCATTTTCCCTTTGTGAGAAGAAGGAATGTTTGCTTTAAATATACCTATGGCTCAAATATCTACATCTGCGACTATGAATTTGGGGTGATGGGCTAGAAATTTGAATGGGTTAAAAAAATTTTAAGACAGGTAATATTAGGTGGCGATTTGGTTGAATAGCTTAGATTTTTCCAAGGAAGCATGTTTTTAAAATTATAAAATTACATATCTGTTATGTTTTTAATATTTCTTAAAGAGAGAGAATTATTGTTTCTTAGTATTCCATTAAAACAAAATAAAACTTCATTCCTCTCCTGCCATTATAACAACCAATAGGAAACTCGAAGTTTTTTTTTTTTTTTATTTTTTTTGCTTTTTAAAAATTATTTGAAAGTGCTACTAGGAGAGTCATCACGCACACACAGCAAAACAGGCAAAAGAAAGCACCGAAGCACTGGTTCTTTTCTAAACTGCCAATTCCATTTGAATGCATTAAGGTTAACCCTGCACTTCTGCCGTATTTAGTCATAATCTTATTCACAGAGTAGCAAATGCTTACTCTCTGCCTGGTGAGGTGTGTGTATAAAACAAAAAGCAGATTGTGACTGACATATCACTGTACTAGAGTATTGCCTATCTTTGACTATCTGAAGGAAAAGTAGATATCACTTTAAGTGTGGAAAATACCATGTCCCTATAGGAGGAAATACAAGTTGTAGTTCTTGATTGGAGAGAATAGTTTTGTGCATTGAAAAACAGCTTCTCATTGTAAATAATTTAGTATTTGGAAAGCATGAATGGGAGCCTACTGGTTTGCAGTCTCTTTCACATGTTGGAGTAACTTAGAATTTAAGTAAGTGCGGTTGAAAGACTCTTGTCAATTGCAGACACAAGAATACATGAAGTGGAGGGAAGGAGAAAATCATTTTGAATTCAACCTGAAATAAAATCTTGCTACATTAGTGAAGTATTGTAAAGTACTTTGAGTTAAAGTTTGCAGGCAAGAAGCTGCAAAATTGGATTGTAGCAAGTTGTGAAACAGGTTAAGTATCTAGAATTGTATTCTGATACGGAATTTTTAGACCATGGAAATTGCCATGAGTGTAGAAATTTTATATTAGCTCACAGATTGCTGTTCTTAAACTGAAATTAATGAAGAACTTAATTGAGACTTATTTTCTATATCCTCTCAGCCCCCCAACAAAATACTAAACATAATTTATGTTCTAGGGTTTCAAGTAAACATTTTTGCTAATCATCTGATTTTCTTTCACAGCATATTTCATTTTCTGTCATTGGACTTTGAGCCATTAGAACCATGAGCAACTACAGTGTGTCACTTGTTGGCCCAGCTCCTTGGGGTTTCCGGCTGCAAGGCGGCAAGGATTTCAACATGCCTCTGACAATCTCTAGTGTAAGTAAACTTTACAGATTTTGTTATAGATGTTCATTCAGTGCTTAGTCCTCGGGCTGAGTTGTTTAGTTCTCCGTTGACCTGTACTCTACTTACTGTCATTGTTCCTGGGATGTGATCTTGGCAAATTTGGTTATCCATAATAAAGGATGAGGGGAGTGGATTTAGCAAGGATAACTGATTTCAATTTAACTTCTTTTCTGTTTTCCCCCATGTTATCAATAATACAATGGAAAAAGCATTTAACTAGGAACAGACTGTAAATTTTTGAGCTGTCCCTAATTTGGGGAATTCTCTGAATCTTAGTTTTTTCATATATAATTTTCGAAGGTCGTGCTATGGGATTTTAATAATCTCTTTCAGTTCCAAAAGCTGTTTATTAAAAACTGTTGATCAAAATTGAATAAAATGATTGTTTTGGAATTATTTCCTCAGCTCACTTTCTAGTGGAGGTGATAGCCAACGGTAAGTTGGCCAAAAGCTACTTACCCTTGAAGAGGAAATGAAGGACTTAGAGCTCTAACTAGATAGTCAGCCTATGAATAATTGAGATTTGTCTTTTTACCTCATGGATTTAGTTTGAATGTATTCTGTGTATATATTTTAAGGATGTGTTTTCATGATGATGATAGCACTAATGAGAGGAGTAATTACAGCTTCTATTTATTGAGACTTGACTGTATGTCAGGTACTGTTTCACTTTCATCACCAGTAGGTAATTATTACTATTAATTACTTATATAAGTTTCTAAAAGGTTTGTTTTTGCAGATTCACATAAATATGAATTTCCACTCTTCTTTTACTCAAATGGTAGCATATTATACACACTGTTTTTTTTGTTTTTTTTTTTGAGATGAAGTTTTGCTGTGTTGCCCAGGCTGGAGTGCAATGACTTAATCTCGGGTCACCACAACTTCTACCTCCCGGGTTCAAGCAGTTCTCCTGCCTCAGCCTCCTGAGTAGCTGCGATTACAGGCATGTGCCACCACACCTGGCTAATTTTGTGTTTTTGATAGAGACAGGGTTTCTCTATGTTGGTCAGGCTGGTCTCGAACTCCCGACCTCAGGTAATCTGCCCACCTTGGCCTCCCAAAGTGCTAGGATTACAGGCGTGAGCCACCACACCTGGCCCACACTATTTTATACTTTGCTTTTTTTGCAATAATTCACCCTGGAGATCATTCTCTATTAATATATAAGGAGGTGTGCGTGTGTTTTTAAACAACTGTATAGTTTTCTTTTATAGGGAAAGTGACATTTAACCAATCCCCTACTGAAGAGTATTTATGTCATTTCCATATTACTGTTACAGTGGTGCAGTGAATACCAAATATAAGTACATACATATATATGTGAATATATGTATCTATATCATTTTGAAAGGTTGTGCCAATTTACACTTTTGTGCAATGCATGAAAATACTATTTTCGTGCCAGTCTTACCAACAAACTTTTGGATTTTTATCAAGTGTTATGAATGCATCATCTCATTCAATTACCATACCAACCTACAAAATAGTGATATTATTCCCATTGTATATAACTGTGCTGTGAGCTCACATGGCTGGTATGGAAGAGCTGGCTTTCCAGCAGTTATGCTGTGCTGCCTCTTTAATAATTCACTTTACCTTAAATTTAGTTAGGTTGTTTCTTTAATCAGATATTTAGAAGATTGTCATTTTGGTTAATAATATACATGTATGTATAAATATATATATACACACACATACTTATGCATCTTATATGTGTATCCAACTTCATTTTGAAAGATTAAAAATAAGTTTTTAACGCCTAACTATCCTCATTAAAATACTGCAGATCCCATTTTACTAATGGAGTTTCCTTTGTTTCTTGGCTGTGGATTTTTTGAAGATACCTTTAATTTATCATCAATTTCTGCCTTGATTTCAGTTAATTAGATTTTATAAGGAAATATGTATGTATAATCCAGCCTGCAAGTTTTAACACCTTTCATGGTTGGATGAAATTTTAAATGTAAAGCATCCATGCGAAAATGTGTCATGTGATTTATTCCTGTTTGAGTGAGTTGGTATTTTATTTCTTCTACTGATGATCTATTATGGGAACAGAAGCAATCTTTGAGTATTATTGGTTTTTATGTTTTGTTAGCATTTTATATTTTAAATATTCTACTTTAGTTATCTAAATCAAGTTATTATTTAGTTTAAATGCTTACTTTTTAGCAGAAAAAAAGTTCAGAAACAAATTGACACCTAAATGAGCCAAACTTAATTATCACTTTGTTGTGTGGTAATAGAAATTCAAATAGAGTATGTATGTGAATTTTGTGGTACCGTGCCTTTAAAAAAGTTTCATGTGCTTCAGTTTCCTGGCAGACAGTTTGAGGTACTAGCTCCATGTTGTGATGCTGATACAACAGAACACTGTGTACATACATACGTGCCCTCCCCTGGCACAGAAGAAATGCTTTCCTTGTGTAGACAGAGTGCTAATTAAAGGATTTTGAACATACTGATTAAAAGAGACTATGGTAACAAAGCTGCTGAGTTATTTCTGTTCTCTTACAAAAGTCTCTGCCATCTACTGTGACCTTTTTGGGCCTTGTGCAGTGGGGCGTGCAATTCATTCTGGACTGGAGAGGATTGGAAGGGGAGGGGGAGGAGAGAAGGGAATGTTGGCTCAATTGGGCTGCTAGGCTCTTGGCCTTTCATTGTAGTTATTTTTAACCCCTTGTGTGGTTTAAATATACCTGGTAACATTGCCTAATAAAGGTTTGTGTTTAATAACTAATTTATATTGTGGTAAGATTGTTAATGTTATAAATTTTTAACTTACTCTCATCTTAATTAGTTCTTTGGTTATACTTTTTCTGCCTTAATTATGTAAAATTACTGGGATATTACTGGTCATTGGGTTCTTTAATTAATAGTATCAAGAAACAATTAAAACCTGAAAGTGTGCTTAAAATATGTAATTTAATGATTCACTTACTTTAATAATGCATATGAAATTCCTAGCAAGGTCTGGCAGTCTCTCAATTATCTTTTATAATAATATTATAAACTTTAAAAAGAAAACTATTTAGAGACTTAAAACATTAAGTATTTAACCCCCATAGTTGTAGGGAACATAGCAGTTATGTTTTTTTTTTTTTTTAACTTACTGTCCATTAAAATTAAGAAAGGAAAAAAAAATCAGAAGTTTGTACTTAGCTAGGAATCTGCATCTTTAGAGTTCAAAACTACAATTTGTCCTCTGATTAGGTATCATTATGTTGAACTCCAAAGGGTCATTTACATTCCTTTGTAACATTGGAGCTCTGGTGTATCGAATTGTGTTTTGAGATAAATAAGCCACTAGCAGGGACTTGAACATTCCATTTTCTTTAGATTTTGTTGTATCAGCATGTGAATATGCTGAATACAACTTGTGTCCTAAAACATTACAAGCTATAACATTTTCACGTTGTACTCAAATTTCTTCATCATCTGTATTATATGAATTTTGTGTACTGTTTTGTGGGTGGATTTCTAAGATAAGATTGGCAGTTCCTACTAGCTTTTTAAAAAGATCCTCAGGTTGCTGTAGCTGGATGATCACATGTCATTTAATTTCCGATCCTTAAAATGGAGATCCTTAAAATGGAGTGCCGGCTACATAAGTTTGCAGACTGTCTTTTTATGACCCTGTGTTTATGGAATTGCCCTGAAGCCATGGAATGTGAGGATGGGTTTCATTGTAGCAGTGTGGGTTTGTTGAGTTTTGCCAGTGTATTTTATAACAAGAAATAGGAGACTTGTTGGATAATTCAAGGCTATATTTTGGCCAGTTGATACTCTTCATGATGGAATTATAAGAAAGATTATATATTTGTGAGTAACATCTTTTAAGTTGTTATATCCTAAAGTTGAAATACTCTGCTGTGTGTTACTTTCTCATTATGTTTGGTCTCTTTTCTTCGCTGTCAATATTTGGATTACCTGAAGATGGTCTCCCAATTCTCTGTAAACACATTTTAGATGTTTCTTTAAGAGATAAGAATTAGGTCAAACTTTTTAACATCTAAATAACAATGACTTTGATTCTCAAGAGTTAGGGGAGGATAAATTGTTACAAGTTTGGACAAAATTCTAATTGGATTTGAAAAGCAGAAGAAACTTATCATTGCTTGGATTATGGAGCCCTGTTTGGGAGTCTAACACAGAACAAAGAAAGACAGAATTGTGAAACACTTTGCTGTGAATTCATTGATTCAGTAGTTATAGCAATACTTCCTAGAAGCCACTGAAGAAGATACAAAGTGGGGAGTACAAAGGTTGGATGGAAAAGAAATAAGCACAGTGCTGTAGAACTAGACAGTGTTGTAAGACCGGTCACAAGTGAATATTCTATGAAATGACAGATTCTGATAAGTGTTTCTCAGTTTCAGTGGGTGTAAATCTATTGTTCATGGGGGTTGGTTTCCTCTAGGAGAAGTTAATTGAACTGATGCTCAAAGGATGAAATTTAAACACCTCAAAGTCAGCATTTCTCCGTGTTGTCCAGTGCATAGTGAAGATGAAGACTTTTCTTGCCATCGCTTGACTCCAAGTAAAGCTGTGAATATAGTTGAGTGATTCTCCAGACCTGCCAGCTGCAGAGTTTCCCTCCTAGAGGAAGACAGAAAGACTTTCAGTCCTTTCAAGCTGAAATGAGAGAGCCATCCTACCTTGAATAAATGGGCCCATTGTTAATTTTAAGCTCGAGTATTTTCTTTTATATTCCCTTCCAGCTACCCTGTCATTATGCCAAGTTAGAAAATTAGTTTGTATGACTATATGATGTATATTTCATATGTGTGTTCACTTTGCTTTAAAAATATTAATTACTTTTTGTGTGAGGTTCACAGACCTGTCTTTTCCCATGTGGTAGTTTTATATGTTTTGTGGTCACAAATGCTAGGAATCTCAATATAATTCTGGATAAATTTTTCTGCTCTATGATTTGTAAAGAAATGAAAATCTTATATTTTTTAAATTGAAAATTAGTAGTTTTAGAAAATAGGGGCTTATTTGATTTTAGTAAATGTTGGGCATTTTGAAAAGTTATTAAGAGAAATGTTACTGGTAGGCAGGACTTTTGTATCTTGATGGAGAAAACCGCTGTAGGGTTAGGATAAAATAAGACTAGCAGGCTGGGTGCAGTGGCTCACACCTGTAATCTCAGCATTTGGGGAGGACAAGGTGGGAGGATTACTTGATACCAAGAGTTCAAGGTTACAGTGAGCTGTAATCATGCCATTGTACTCCAGTGTGTGTGACAGAACCAGACCCTGTCTCAAAAAAAAAAAAAAAGAAAAGAAAAAAAAATAGCACTTTAGACCTTGGGAAAGAACGTTTTCGTATAACCTATTCATCTACTCATGAGTTAGGTATATCTACCTACTTAAATTAAGAATAGATGGACAATAGGTAATGTACAGCTATATATTGGAATGACCTGGATTTAAATATTAGCTTGAAAATCAGTTCATTAATTTGAGCTTCTGATTTTCTTTGATGTATGGGAATGCTTTGTAAATTAAAAATTATATAGGTAGATATGATTGTTATTAATAATTTGGAGCCTATGAGCTTTCAATTTTTTTTAGAATTTTTGAGGCAAAGAGCTTTTCTTTATGATAGTTGCTAGTCACACTACATTTGAATACACAGTTGAGCAGTGGTCTTTCTCTGTGACATCCTGTTAGCAGTAGTTCTTACCCAGATTCCCCTGTACCACAGGACCAGTTATGTCTTTTTCCCTCAGTTACAACTGTATGGAGGACAAATCAGTTATTATTAAGTTATTTCTAGAAGCAAACGTTGCTTTAGGCAAAAAAGGAGTTATTACTTTGACATCTTATGAGAGATAATTATGTTTCAGCTTTGGTAGATGAGACTCTAGGCCTTTATTTCAGTATCTGAGATGCAAAATATATTGAGTATTTGATACAAAATTTGACAAAACTAGATATTAGCATGTGAAATAACAATATGTGGATCTATTTGCAAATAAATGACCTAATGGGAATGAAAAGAGAAAACACTAAATAACTAAAGAGCAGTGACCATAGTGTCTACTGATTCTTTAGGTATTCTGTGTGTTGGGCCACTGTGTAGTCTTGTTGAGAATGCAGGTTTGGTTCCTTAATTAACAGAAAGGGAAAAATCACTTTTCTAGCATACTTTGTTTTTATTAAGAGGTTTTTTAAAAAGGTAAACTAAGAATGAACAAAGCAGAGAATATTGAATGAGTATTCCCTTATTCCTTCACCTTCTTTCTTATTTTTTCTTTCCCGTTGTTTAAGTGTAGTTATCTACCCTTCTGTAAATACTTAGATTTCTTTTATAGCTGATATTGTCACCCATTTTTTATGATAATTACTAGAACAAAGTTCACCAACTTTGTTGACATTTAGTAACCGGGCTCCCAACTGGGCTAAGCAGTTGTAGTAAATGTCCCTAATAGGTATAAATAGAGGAGAGTAAAATGAACTGGAAAAGTTAATAGGAGGGAATGAGAAAGAAAAAGATCAGAGAAGAAAATAAAGAGGACATTTTTAAAAGTCTGCAGCGTTTCAGATTTGTTACTTAAGAAATCTTTTTGATTAAGCCTTCACAAGCTCTCTTCCCTTTTAAAGTTTCTTTACTTTTTCTTTTTCTTTTCTTTTTTCTTTTTTTTTTTTTTGAGATGTAGTCTCACTGTCGGCCAGGCTGGAGTATAGTGGCGTGATCTTGGCTCACTGCAACCTCCGCCTCCTGGGTTCAAGCAATTCTCTGCCTCAGCCTCCTGAGTAGCTGGGATTACAGGCATTCGCCACCACGCCCGGCTAAGTTTTTCGTATTTTTAGTAGAGATGGGGTTTCACCATGTTGGCCAGGCTGGTCTCGAACTCCTGACCTTGTGATCCATCTACTTCAGCCTCCCAAAGTGCTGAGATTATAGGCATGAATCACTGTACCTGGCCTAATTTTCTTTAGGTAAGACATTCATATGGTTCGAAATTTAAAAGATACACGAGCATATAGGGGGAAATGTCTCCTGGTGCCCTATTGTTCATTTCCTCTTCCTGGAAGCAACCTGTGTTAGTAGTATACGTCCAGAGATAATCTATATAGGTATATCTCCTCCACACCCTCCTTTTAACACAAATAGTATGCTTAACAGAAATACTTATTTTTTTGGCGTTTTGTTCACTGAACCCAGCATCAGTAAATATATCTTCATTCCTATTCTAGTGCCTCACTGTGTTTGGATTTGTCATAATTTTTTAAATCAGTTCCTATTGATAGACAGTTAGATTTTTTCTAGTCTTGTGCTTTCACTGACACCGAAGTGTAAGTTTTGCCTGTGTGTGTGTGTATATATATGTAAACATTTAGATTTTTTTCTAGTCTTTTTGCTTTTACTGACGTTGAATTTAAGTTTTGCCTATATGTGTGTGTATGTATGTATATTTGTCACATAAATTGCTTGAAATGGAATTGCTGAGTCAGAGTGTGTACATTTGTAATTTTTACTGATATTGCCATCTTTATAGAGACACTCGTGCTCACAGTATGCTAGCCTGAGTTTCAACAGACCTTGATCATTTCCAATCAGATGGGCCGGTTTCCACCTGTTTTCTTTTTACAGGGCTTGGTCACAAGTATTTTACAAAATATTTTTTTGTGTTTTTAAGTGGTTTGTTTTCCAAATTGTAAGGGAATCTAGGAAATAAAAACATGCTGCTCTTCTTTAAATGATACCATTTAATTTCTTAGAGATGCCATTTTCTGAATTCTTTCATCCAGAGCTTTTATTAGTAATTATCTCTATCATTTGTTTCCCATTTCCAAACTAACTTCCTCTGTATCTTAACCTGTTACTCCCAATTACCAGGCAAAAGATTTTGTGTTTTTGGCATAGTGCCCCGTCATAGACTTTTTGGAAAATTAAGCAAATCACATTTAATAGATTTAAAGTTGTTACCTTTGGAGTCTGCTCAGTAGGCTGATACACAGTTGACCCTTGAACAACACAGGGTTTAGGGGCATCAACCCCCTGTGCAGTCAAAAATCCATGTATAACTTTTGACTTCCCCAGAACTTAGCTACTGATAGCCTACTGTTGACCAGAAGCCTTACCCATAATATAAACAATTGATTAAGGCAAATTTTGTGTGTTACACATATTAAATACTGTATTCTTACAATAAAATAAGCTAGAGAAAACATTATTTAAAAATCATAAGGAAGAGAAAATACATGTACTATTCATTAAGTGGAAGGGAGTCGTCATAAAGGTCTTCATTCTTGTCATCTTCACTTTGAGTAGGCTGAGAAAAAAGAAGAGGAAAGGTTGTTCTTGCTGTCTCAGGGGATGGCAGAGGTAGAATAGGTGGAGGTGGAAGGGAAGCAGGAGAAAGCAGGAGAGGTGGGCACACTTGGTATAACTTTTATTGAAAAAAAATCTGCCCGTAAGTAGACCCGTGCAATTCAAATCTGTGTTGTTCAAGGGTCAACTGTATGTATGGTTTTGAATTCCAGTCTTCTCTAGCTCCTTTTATATGATGTGACAAGGAGACTGACCATTATGAGGTGTTCACTATGGTCCGAGGAATGACAAATTTCACCCTTGTGAGCCTCAGTGTGTTTTTATTATCAACCTTTATTAGCTAATGGAAGTTAACTGAAATCAGGTAGGTTTATAGAGTATTCTGTAGCATGATGAGTCAGGCATTGTGAAGGTATACTAATGTGTGGCACAAGGTAGTTACTCATTTTAGCCCAGTGTGAGCAGTAGAGTGTATGTGTTGGTAACTATAATAACAAAAAGAGTAAGGATGCCAGGGATGTTTATATTTTTTGTGG